TTCCACCCTCACTCAGAGGCATCATCCGCATACCCCCGTCACCCAATTAACCTCTCTCGTGAGATCTGTTGCATGGTATGACTTTAAGGCATTCCTTGGCTTCAATCCACCAAGCTATTGTCTGCTACTTAAATCACAATACTGTCACTACCTGTGTCTGAACTCACACCCTGTGTTTGCCGCCATCCTTTTACCTTCTTGGGTAATGCATCTCCTGGCTCAGCTTGTTCTTCCCAAAAGTTAATTCTGACTTCGTATCTAGGCTCTTAGACACTTACAATGCAGAGTCTTAGTATTCTGTTTTGCCTCTTTGAAAAGCTTAGAACACTCACAGATTTTAATCTAACATTCCTGAGTTCTGATTCAGATCCTACCTTTCAATCATTTAGTAAGCCTAACACATACAAAACAAGGTAAGAATAATATGTATTTTGATAGTAATGAGGTGCTATGATGGTTTGAAAGAAAATATCTCCCACCAAACGGAGTGGCACTATTAAGAGATTGTTGGAATAAGTGTGGACTTATTGGAGGAAGTATGTCACTGTGGGGGTAGGACTTGAAGTCTCCTATGCTTAAGCTATGCCCAGTGTCTCAGACCACTTCTGCTGCCTGCTGTCAATATGTAGGACTCTCAGCTCTTTCTCTACCACCATGTCTGCCTGTAAGCTGCCATGTCTCACCATGATGATAATGGACTAAACCTCTAAAACTATAAGCCACCCAATTAAATGTTTTTTTTTTTAGTAAGAGTTGCTGTGGTCATGGTGTCTCTTCACAGCAATAGAAACCCTAACTAAAACAGAAATCAAATTCAAAATGCCAGCATAGGGTCTATAGCTTTCAATATAACCAATCACTCTCAGCTATCTTATCAGTCACTATAACTGCTGTTACCTCTTTCATGGTCTTTGCAACATGAAATGACAAAGCAGGTCTTTTTTTCCTAGGACAACTCATTCTTTCTGTACCATGGCAAAGCCCAATACAGAGTACATGTTTAGTGTTCTAAATAGATGAATTCTTTCAACATTAATTTCTGTAATATTGTTTCTAAGGTTTGTTTGTTTGTTTGTTTGTTTGTTTTACCACTCCCAAAAGCTGGGCAGTGGTGGCACATGCCTTTAATCTCAGCACTCAGGAGGCAGAAGCAGGTAGATCTCTGTGAGCTCAGGGCCAGCCTGGCCTACAGAATGATTTCTAGGACAGCCAGGACTCTTTCACAGAGAAACCTTGTCTTGAAGGAAAAAAAAAAAAAAAAAAAAAAAGGAATGGCTCCTGAAGGTTCATGTATTTGTTATGGGTGACATTGGAGATTGGCACTATTTGAGAGGATTAGAATGATTAGGAGGTGTGGCCTTGTTGGAGGAAGTATGTAACTGGTGGTAGGCTTTAAGGTTTCAAAAGCCCCCAATACCTTTCTCTCTCTGCCTACTGTTGGCTAATACAGATGTAAAGCTCTCACCTACTGCTCTAGCACTATGCCTGTCTGTTTCCCACTAAAATAATCATGGACTAACCATTTAAAACAAAACAAACCCCCAAGTAAATGCTTTCTTTTATAAGATTGTATGACTTGAAGTTTCCAAAGCCCATGCCAGACCTAGGGTCACTTTTTCCACCTATGGATTTGGATGTAGCTCTCTGCTACTACTCCAGCACCATGTTTCCAGCCCAAATGTTACATTTTAAGGCTTACATTCTTATACCACTATGATATTTCCTGACACAGAATATTCAGTTTAAATGTAGGGTACTCACTTGATTAATACTCTCTTCACCTGATTATAAACTTTTAGATACTCTGTCTATTCTATACACACACACACACACACACACACACACACACGCACAGAAAGAGAGAGAACACAGAAGCTACTAGTCATGTGCTCAAATGAGCGAATGAAAAGAATGAATAAATGAATAAAAATTCAAAAATAGACTTCTTATGTTTTTTATGTCAATAGAAGTTGTGTCTTTCAGAAATGTTTGTGAAAGGGTTAAGGACATATTTTCTTCACACACACACACACACACACACACACACACACACACACACACACACACAAAGCCCTCATTTGGAACCCTACTTCTAAGAGCAACAACAGCAACAAGACTCTCAAATGGTAGAACCAAAAAGAACAAAACAGAGGGCCTTGGGTGTAGCTCAGCAGAAGATCAGACACTATCACTCTCGTGCTTATGATGCACAGGGCCCTAGGTTCAACCCCTGCACCAAAAATTAAGAGAAATATTGTTGACACAAAGCTAATCTCATAATCATGTCCTCTACTAGGTTCATTGCTTCACAGAACACTGAGTGCTCCAGCAGAACTTAGGAATGGCTGAATCTGCAAGACCACAGGGAACCTGTGGCACGTGACTGCTCACCCCAACTCAGCAGAATGGAATAAGGGACCATTAATAACATCCAGAATGTCTAAGCTTCTTCTCCAAAGAGCATGAAACAGACTGCACAGAATCAAAGGCTTTTCCCCATCCAAAAGGAGTTTTAGACCCAGCACTTAGCCATATTTGAATACAGAGGAAGAAAGTGGAGACAGAGAGAAATAAGTAAAGAGAAAGGCAACAAAAGAGAGTGCAGATGTTTTTCTTAAGAATATATTTTATTTTTAAAGATAATTTTATTTTATGTGTACAAGTGTTTGGCTTGCACATACTTACTGCAATGTATGTGTGTTTGGTGACTTCAGAAGTCAGAAGAGGGTATTGGGTCATGTAAAACTAGAGTTACAAACAGTTGAAAGTCATTGTTTGATTGCTGGAAACTAAACCCCTGTCCTCTGCAAGTATGGCAAGTGCTCTTAACCACTAAGCCATCTCTTCAGCCCCTAAAAGGGAAGCTGAAGAAACCTCTATGGGTTCTAGGAACAGAATTACATCCTTTTAAATGTGAGTACAAACCTTTAATTAGTGAGCTATCTCTAGACTTATTTTGTTTTTAATTATATATATATATATATGAATTTAGGTGCCCCTGGATACAGGAAGAGGGCATCCAATCCTCAGTTGTGAGCTACCAGAGGTGGGCTGAGTATCAAACTCTGTACCTCTAGAAAATCAGCAAGTCCTCTTAACCAGTGAGCCAGCTCGCTAACTCCAAGAGAGTGCATAATTTTAGAGGCACAATCTCTGGAAATGGAGAACACAATAAATCTTTTTTAACTAGTTATATAGCTATACAATTACCAAAGAATTAGGGCACTTTTCTCAAAATTTAGGGATTTTAGTTGGTCAATGCAGGTTTGAACTGGATATATTCTCCTATAACTGAAGATGTTGCTACTGGGAACATACTAAGATACCTGTTGTTTATATTTAATATCAGTTTCTGTCTTTATTCTATCAGGGGAAATTGGATAAGAACACTGTGGTTCAGAATAACAAAAAATTTCTTAGCTATCTCAGTATGCAAATATAATTAGAGGTGGGAATGGAAGTTCCTGCCCTGGGAATTCTGTCTTTATTGATAGTAAATCCTCTGCACAGAGGTTGGGTCTGAGGTCTGGGATCACACGTTTTATCTCCCCTTCTATTCTGTTTCCATATCTGGTGCTGGTAGATTTTGTCTAAGAATAAAATTGTCAGGGGTAAGTGGCATCTGTTACCATAGAAGCCAAAATGTTCAGTTCTTCCTTCCTTCAAAGGGGCTTTGATGTGTTCAGAACCTTGCTTGGCGTTAGAATGTAAGTTAAGAACCAGACTAGGATAAGCTTTAGATATTCTCTCAACCAGATACACAAATTCTTTGACTTTTCACATTACAAATCTCTGTCACTTCATTTGCACCTTGAAAAGACACATGCATATTATTGACTTACGGTTTTGTATTATCATTTGCCTTGGGCTCTCATGAGTTTTATGGATAAAAAAAAATGGACACTAATTGAGTTTGAACTTTCTGTGGCTTAGGAAGTTAGTTATATCTCCACTTAGATTCACGTTTGGTTCTTTGCAGTATAATTGAGCATGCAAATATCTCACAGAGACTGGCCTTCTTGCTTGGATCAAAATAATCACTGGCTTGTACTTCCATGTTCTCATGCCCTTTCCAAACTCTTGTTTCCTCTGTGGAACCACTGTCTACCAGGTCAGCTGAGAGGATTAGATCCTAACTGAAAGAGAAATGAGGTTCTTTGAAGTGGTTGTTCTACCTGTGAAACAGAACTAAAAGAAGCTCCACTAATATTCCAGAAAACTAAAGGCTCTGCAAGCATTAATAAGTAGGGAAGCCTTTCCTTTCCAGCCTGTCTTCTGACTCATGCCTGAAATAGAGTTAGGAAACTTAAGCATATAGTGGGAGGCTGGTGTCTGAGGGCTCCTTCTCAGCCTACTAGATCACTTCCATCTTTGGGCCTGCTTTTTCCTTTATCAATCACCTGACTATTTCTGTTCCACACCTAACTTAAAAGTCATGGCTTTTCCTCCACCTCTCCTCTGAGAAGCTGCTGGGATTTTCAGGTAACTATGTATTGTAGAATATTATTTTAAGATGTGTTAAATTAGTTTATGCTCTGGAACACTTTTTTAATGATGCAAACATGTGTTTCATTCTTTTATGTTGCATTTGTCTAACTATGTGAAGCTGTGTTACTTTGCCTGTCTAAAACACCTGATGTTCTAATAAAGAGTTGAATGGCCAATAGTGAGGCAGGAAAAAGGATAGGCAAGGCTGGCAGGCAGCAAGAAGAAATAGAAAGAGAAATCTGAGAGAAACAAGAAGAAAGATCAAAGAACAAGAGAGGAAGAGGAGGATGTCAGGGACCAGCCACTCAGCGAGCCAGACACACAGTAAGAAGGAAAGAAAAGGTATACAGTAATAGTGAAAGATAAAAGCCCTGAGGACAAAGATAGACAGGATAATTTAAGTTAATAGTAGCTGGCAAAAAAACAAACCAAGAATTCTGGGAAATGGAAGGCTGAGACAGAGAGACGCTGCCAGACGCTGCCAGACGCTGCCATGAAAAGCAAGATATAAGATACCGGAGCTGCTCTGTCTGGAAACCTGACATTTATGGTGGGAGGAGTTGAAGATGAATTTGCTGCTCCCAAAGAGTTGCTGGAGTGCATGGGCTCCAATGTGATGTACTGTGGAGCTTTTGGGACTGGGCAGTCTGCAAAGATCTGCAACAACATGCTGTTGGCTATAAGCATGGTTGGAACCACTGAAGATATGAATCTTGGAATCATGTCAGGGCTTGACCCAAAATTGTTGGCTAAGATCCTGAATATGAGCTCTGGACAATGTTGGTCCAGTGATATTTACAATCCTGTGCTTGGGGTGATGAATGGAGTCCCCTCATCTAATAACTACCAAGGTGGATTTGGAACAACACTCATGGCTAAGGATCTGGGATTGGCTCAAGACTCTGCCACCAGCACCAAGACCCCAATTCTTCTAGGAAACCTGGCCCACCAAATATACAGGATGATGTATGCCAAAGGCTACTCAAAGAAAGACTTCTCATCTGTGTTCCAGTATCTGTGGGAGGAGGAGACCTTCTGATGTGCCCTCTGGACATAGACCCTTGGGAATCAGGCTCTGTCCTGAGCCTTCTCCTAGCTCACCCTCTGATGGGTTTAATAAAAGATCATCTGCCTTTTTTTGATTGTCTACATTACAGTAATCTCTGGAATTTCTCACCCAGTTTTAAATGATGCTGCTTTTATTTGTTTAGCAAACATACCTGATGGTTTCTGCTAACTAGCTCAGCTGACCTTTTTAAAAAGTCTGATCCTTGAGCACCTTCAACAAAATTGAACACTCTGATCAGGATATTTTATCTACTCCACTTTGCAAATAAAACCAAATGTTTTGTCAACAAGATGGAACCCATGGTAAAAGGAAAGAAATCAGTTACAAAGACAAACAAGAGGAAAGTTTGTCCTGTTAACCAAGTGAGGTTATTCCTTCATTCCAGGTTGCTGACTTCCTGTCTGGGATTGACAGCACTAATTTACTTCAGAGAGGAGGATAGGCATCAAAGACACTCCATATGGAATTTATCTTCACCTTGGCAAAATAGCCATTTGAGCAAGAAACTGTTCTCGCCTGGACTGCCTGAAAAAATGTATCGACTGGACATGCAGGACCCATAGGAAGGTGACCACTGAACTTTGCCTGGCAAAATGGTCCTTTAGGTTCCTGCTTCACAGAGGAAACTGACAGACATTCTACAGGACACAGAGAAAAGTGACTGAGAGACTCTAGGCCTGTGGGCTGAAGATAGATGCCCCAACTTTACAAAAGAACTTTGGATAGCTGTCCAGGCTGACAGCTGTCTCTGTCTACTCTCGCAAGACTCCTGAAAGTTGTTTGCATCTGTCTCCCATTTCTCAGTTGGAAATTGCCCAAGGAAGACTACTGTGGGCAGGCTCCCCCACCAAAAGCCCCCATCAGACCATGCAGTCTAACAGACCCATGCCCTAATCCAAACTTATTTAACCCCCTGGGACTCTAGTGGCTTCCTAAAACACAGAATCTGTGAGCTCTCATTAAACCAAGAGAGACTTCCTGAGACACAGAATGTGCCAGCTCTGATTGGACCAAGAGCCCCGATAAGACCAAAGCAGTCCCCTGAGCCACAGAATCAGCTAGCTTGGATTGGACCAAGAGCAGCTCCCTGAGATACAGTATCTGCCAGCTCCAAATAGAGCAAGAGCTAAGATTAAACCCAGAGTGGCCCCCTGAGACACAGGCACAACAAGCACAGATTGGACCATTAGCAGCTCGCTCAGACACAGTCACCTCTTGCACCAATTGGAGGAAGAGATGGGTAGATGCTAGTGCAAAATACATATAAAAACATAAAGAGCAATATGGCATCACCAAAACCTAGTTCTTCTACAACTGCAAGACCTGAACATCACAATGAAGAAGAGGCAGAAGAAAGCAACCTTAAAAATAACTTCATGAAGATGCTAGAGGTCTTTAAAGAAGAAATGAAAAATTCCCTTAAAGAAATTGAGGAAAATTGGAAGAAAATTGAAAGAAATCAATAAATCCCTTAAAGAACATGCTGTGGGATGTTCTGTATACTGTAAATAAATGTCACTATGATTGATTGATAAATAAAATGCTGATTGGCCAGTAGCCAGGCAGGAAGGATAGTGTAGGCAGGACAAGGAGGAGGAGAATTCTGGGAGGTACAAGGCTGAGGCAGGGAAAGGCTGCCAGCCACCATGAGGAGAAGCATGATGTAAGATACTGGTAAGCCACAAGCCACGTGGCAAGGTATAGATTTATAGAAATAGGTTCATTTAAGATATAAGAACAGATAACAAGCAGCCTGCCATGGCCATACAGTTTATAAGTAATATAAGTCTCTGTGTGTTTACTTGGGAGACTCGAATGGGAGAGATTTGTCCTAACCATGGACCAGGCATGAGCAGAAAAACTTCAGCTACAAAAACTCCAAAAAAAAACCATGAAGCAATTAAACATGTGCAGGAAACAGTTCAAGACCTGAAAAGTGAAATAAAAACAATGAAGAAGACACAAACTTGAAATAGATAATGTGAGCAAGTGAACAGGAACTCAAGATGCAAGCATAACCAACAGGATACAAGAGATGGAAGAGAGAATCTCTGGTGTAGAGGATACAATAGAGGAAATAGATTCATCAGTCAAAGAAAACACCAAAGCCAAAAAAGTCATAACACAAAATGTCCAGGAAATCTGGGACACTATGAAAAGGCCAAACCTCAAAGGCACAGAAAATATATTCAACAAAATCATGGAAGAGAACTTTCCCAACTTAAAGAAAAAAATACCTATGAAAATAACAAGAAACTTATAAAACACCAAATAGACTACCCCCCCAAAAGTTCCCTTGCCACATAATAATTAAACCACTAAACATACAGAATAAAGAAAGCATATTAAGAGCAGCAAAGGAAAAAGGCCAAGTGACCTATAAAGGCAGACTAATCAGAATAACACCCGATTTCTCAATGGAGACTTTGAAATCCAGAAGGTCCTGGACAGATGTAATGTAGACACTAAGAGACTATGGATGCCAGCCTAGACCAATACACCCAGCAAAACTTTCAGTCACCATGAACGGAGTGATTAAGACATTCCAAGACAAAACCAGATTTAAACAATACCTATCCACAAATCCAGCCCTACAGAAAACGCTAGAAGGAAAACTCCAACCTAAGGAAGTCAGATGCACCCACAAAAACACAGGCAACAGATAACACCACAGCAGTAAATCCCAAAGATGGGAAATACACACACTACCACCAAAAGATAACCGAAATTAACAATCTCTGGTCATTAATATCCCTTAATATCAATGGGCTCAATTCACCTATAAAAAGACACAGGCTAACAGAATGGATATAAAATCAGGATCCATCCTTCTGCTGCATACAAGAAACACACCTCAACTGCAAAGACAGACATTACCTCAGAGTAAAAGGCTGGGAAAGAAAAGACTTTCCAATCAAATGGACTTAAGAAGCAAGCTGGTGTAGCTAA